TTTAGATGTGAATAACTTTACCAACGATACTAAACTTTCGAAATTCAAAGCCTTTATTCCATTATTTAATGTTACTAGAATGGGTATTGTAAGAGGGATTCCCAAAGAATGGTCTACAGAAGAGGTGATCCAGAATGTTACTAAAAGCCAGGCGATTAAAAAAGAAAACATTTATGGATAATAAAGCCAATTTTATTGATACAGAAACAGTTGTCCTGACTTTTGATGGCCAAATTCTTCCTAAAAGAATTTACATATGTTTTAATTCTTTTCCTGTAGACTTATATATTTACCCTACTATACAATGTTTTAAATGTTGTCGATATGGACATGTCAAGGATATGTGTAGATCAACTCCACGCCGCTTTAAATGTGGCAAGGATGGTCATTTGGGAAGCAGCTGTACATCAGAGGATGAGGCATTTTGCTGTATTTGTCATGGCTCCCACTATGCAACAAATAAAATATGTAAAGAATTTTTAAGGCCAAAAATATCAAAGAGCATATGGCTAAAAATAGTATTTCTTATGCAGAGACATCTAAAATCTTCCCTACAATAACCAAATCATATTCTGATGTTGTAGCAACTTCTACAAACACTCCTTCAACCTCTGTCATCAACAGAACTCATATAAATAATAATAAAGATTCTCAAAATCTTTCTTATAAGAAGACTGTATTTTTTAAACCTCATCAACAAAGGAAATGATGTCAAGGCTCATAATGCTATCATAAATGAATTCGATTTGCCTTCCCCTAAAAATGGTTGTGCACTCAACAATGAAACAAATGATTCATCTAAACAATCTATTGTGGTACTTATAATTGCTTTATTAAATATTTTAAATCAAAATCAACCGTCCAACGTAGCCCAACCAATAATGGAAATTATAAATAAGTATATTAGTCATAATGGACAGTTGCTCCAAGGCAATTCAGTGGAATTGTCGTAGTGTAAATAGTAAGAAAAGTGATCTTATCCATATTATTAATAAGTATCATCCCACCATAGTATGTCTTCAAGGTTAAAACCTGAATCCATTTTTAAAATTCAAGGATATTCTTGTATTAGAGAAGATAGATCTGATGGCTATGGTGGTGTTGCAATATTAGTAAAACATCCTTTTCCTTTTTCGCATGTAAATATTTCTCCTCATGATAAAAATCTCTCAATCATTGCTATCATTGTAAATAACATTTGCTTTGTCTCTATATATATTCCTCATTCTTCTTCTCGAATTTTAAATGAAGTTAAAAATATTTTAGTATCTCTTCCCAAACGTATATTTGTTTTAGGTGACTTTAATGCTCAACAGCAGTCATGGGGTAGTTCAAATAACAATAACTATGTACGTGAAGTGTTGGACATTGTAGATTCACTAAATCTTTGTATTTTAAATAATTGCACTCCTACACGAAGAACCAATATTAATGAAAGTAAAAGTGCTCCTGATCTTTCCATGTCTTCACCTAGGTTAGCCTCATCATTAATTTGGCAAACCTTAAACTCCACTTATGGTAGTGATCACTTCCCAATTTTAATAAATTTACCTTTTAAAAATATCAATAAAACTAAAACTTCTTGCCGAATTAAATATCAGTTGGCTAGTGCAGACTGGGATTTATACAAAACTGCCCTAGATTGTAAGATCTCAACATTTCCCATCTTAAGCCAAGGTGATGAGTATCTCTGTTCTGAAGCTTTTGCTCATGCTATAATTGAGACTGCTGACGAAGTTTTTAATCAAAGAAGCCTTCCTCAAATAATATTCCATTGCCTCCCTGGTGGGACAGTGAGTGTTCCTGGGCTGTCAAAAAAAGGAAGGAAGCGGAATTGAATTATAATTTATAAAGTTCAGAAGAAAATTTTGAAATATTAAATAATGGCTATTATTGCCACTAAAAAATTATTCAAAAGGAAGAAATGGGAAGGATGGAAAAAAATCTGTGAAACCATCTCACCTGAAGTTAAACCATCTTTAGTTTGGCAAAATATTAGACGTTTCAGATCGGCTTTCAAGAATTCATCCCCCAGTTTACCGCCTACTATGCCTGATCAATTTTTGGATAATTTGGCTCCCCCCTTTGTTCCTCAACCAGAACTAATTTATAGCCCGATTTCTTCTTTACCTAAAGCGCATGAGAACACATTTATTATCAATAATGTCAATGACATCGGTGACAGTTTGACTAATTCCACAGGTTGTAATTGCAATTATACCTCCGTCCTTAATGCTCCCTTTACACTACCTGAATTGAAAGGAGTTTTAACGAATGTTAAGGATTCTACACCCGGGAAAGATGGTATCATGTATTCCTTTTTTACTCATATGAGCGATACATGTCTTCTATATTTTTTGAATATTTTAAACTCTTATGAAATCTGGCAAAAATTCCACCACAATGGAAAGAGCAGGAGATAATTCCTATATTAAAGCCCAATAAACCTGCTGATAATCATTCATCATATAGACCAATAGCTCTTTCATCTGTTCTTTTAAAAATTGCTGAACATCTAATTAAAAATAGGTTAGAGTGGTTTATAGAAAGTAATAAATTGTTATCAGAAAATCAATTTGGATTTCTTAGAGGCAGAAGCACTATAGACAGTCTGCCGATATTCATTATAGATATTCGTCTTGCTTTTTCTAATAATAATTCTGTACTGGCAGCTTTTTTGGATATAAGCTCTGCTTATGACAATGTTTCCCTCCCAATTCTAAAACATAAACTCAACCAATTAAAAGTCCCATTCATGCTAGTAAATTTTATTTTGAACATTTTATTAGAGCGTTCAATTACCCTGCGAGATTCTAATGAACCTGCTAGAATAGTTTGGAAAGGTATCCCGCAGGGATCAGTTCTAAGTCCTATTTTATATAATATCTATACATATGATTTAGAGTGTTCATTAAGCAACGATGTTAAGGTGCTACAATATGCGGACGATTTCTTAATTTATAATATAAATAAGTCCATAGATAAAGCTAAATTTGCTCTTGACTCTTCCCTTAATAAATTAAAGAACTGGCTTTTCCAAAATAATTTGGAACTTGCACCATTAAAAAGCACAATAGTTTTATTTTCTAGATGCCGATTACCCCCTCCCGTCCTCATTAAATACAATAATATTATAATTCCAGTTAAAAATAATGTTAAATTTTTAGGTGTTTATCTTGATGCAAGATTCACTGGAGTTCCCCATATAGAATATGTGGTGGCTAAGTGCGAGAGGTTGTTAAATATTATAAGATGTCTTTCGGGAGTGTGGTGGGGAGCGCATCCTTTGTCTTTAAAATTAATATATAATGCTATCATTATAAGTGTACTCGATTATGGTACCTTTCTTCTTGAACCCGGCAGTTCTTCTGTTTTTTTCCAAAATGAATAGCATACAAGCTAAAGCTCTTCGAATTATTACTGGGGCTATGAAAACTACACCTATTAATGCCCTGCAAGTTGACTGTTGTGAACCACCCTTACAGTTACGTAGACAATATCTAGCAGACAAATTCTTCTTCCGCTTTGTACAGAACTCTAATCATCCACTTTTTAATAAACTCAAATTATTGTCAGAAATAGCTATAATAACTAATAACTCCTCCGCTCCTAATAACGCAGGGTAAAGACTTATGTGTCCAATAGGACACATAAGTCTTTACCCTGTTTAATAATTAGTTTTCGAAAATTTATGTCCATTCAATCTCCTGTTTATCGTTGTCCTTCACTTCCTTTGTTCTCCTGTAGTTTCGAAAGTTTGATTACCTCACATAATGTTTGTTTAAACTTGGGCATCAATAGAAATATCGTTAGTGCTAATTATGAATTTAATTCTATGATACATAATCATTTCGAAGATTGGCATCGCACTGATGCTTCGAAACTTAATTCTCATGTTGGAATTGGGGTTTATCACAAACAATTTAATATAGTACAAAAAATTAAGTTTCCTCCTGAAACATCTGTTTTTACAGGGGAATGTTTTGGTATCCTCAAAGCATTAGAATATATTTTGTTAATGAAGTTAGAAAAAACCCTTATATTATCTGATTCTAAAAGCGCTTTAATGGCGATTCAAAGATATCCCTTCCAATCTAAACCCATGTATCCTGTAATATTTAATATTAGAACTGCTTTACATAATTGTGTTTTAAGAGGATATGTCGTGATGTTTGTCTGGATTCCAGGGCACGTGGGTATTGTTAGTAATGTTTTAGCTGATCGTCTGGCTAATGAGGCTGTGGTGTGCGGTGACATTCATCCTTACATTAATTACTGCCATGATTTGACTGCGCTGCCTAGGCTCTATCTCAAGGAAACTTGGAATAAAGCTTGGGAAACTAGCGGGAGGATTAAGGAATTTTTTTTAAAATCTTTACAACCTAATATTCCTAATAAGCCATGGTTTTCATCTCTGAGGTTTGGTAAACAAGTTACTTCATCAATTACTCGAATGAGATTAGGTCATGTGTGCACACCTGTACATTTGGCCAGGCTTAATATAATTGATTCAGATTTGTGTGCTTGTGGGGATGTGGGTGATCTCAATCATTTATCTGCCCTTTGAATGACGTTTTTTCCTTTTATAATCATCTCGTTTCCATCCGTGTACCATTTCCTACTTCTATCAAATCTCTTCTTGCATGTTCTAATTCTGATATATATACAGCTATATCTATTTTCCTGTTAAATAATCATTTGAAATTATAAATCCTTATACCTATCCTATCATAGTAATCCTATGTGATCCTTTTCCAATTCCGTGAGTAATGTACTTTTAAATCGTGATAAAGGTTTCCCTGCTTTTGTCAGTGGCATATGCGATAACCGCGTGATGCCAAATTATAAGAAAAAAAAAAAAAAAAGTACTCTGTGACTGATAATGACAATGAGATTGAGTTAGACAGATGTCAGTCAACCCAAATCTCAAAATATGCAAATAGTTTTTAAAAATAAACATTTGTTTTTACAGTGTAAAGAGTTTTTTTTTTTACATTAAAATGGATGAGGGGAATTCAATTATTTATGGCTTAGAACATCAGGTACAAATTTCATATAAAAATGCCAAGTTCAGGCGATGTTTTTGGAAAAAAAAATATTGTGTAGCAATAAACATCAAGCTCAATATAGTACTTTTACCAACTTCGCGTTTGATTAACTTTTTCATCTTTATATTACCCTTCAGACAAGAGCCTTGTCGCCGCAATACGAAAGTGATGCTATTCGTTTCTTGATTGGCACACAGAGCTTGAAACCTCAATCAAATCAAGTACACGTAGTTGAACTTGAGGAAGATACTGGAGCATTGCATACTAAGGTTTGTTTCTTTTTAATAACTTATCAGATGTGATAGATTAAGTAATTAAAATACTTATTATAATATTGAAAGATTCATACTCAATCCTGGCTAAATTTATTCCTTAAAGTGTATGTTAATCTGGACAGGTATTTAAACATGACATAGGTGAGATCTGGCATCTACGTTGCTCTCCACATGATGTGGCAACTTTGCTCACAACCCACAATGCTTATGATCCTGAAACTTCACAATGCACAATGGGTGTTTCGATTTTCAAACTGCCAACAGTGGAGGTAATTCAATTTTTTATGACATTGTTTTTTTTTTACATTTTCAGGAGTCACAATTGTGAGTTAAAAAAATAATTTATCAGTCGTCTGTTCATGTGTATAACTGTTCCATGCTACTGTTATGCGCCATACTATTAGGCTAATAACATTTCTGATTTTTAAATAATTTCTAAATATGTAGTACATGCTTTCCTATATGCTAATAATATTTGTAATTGTAATGGTGTTAAACTTATTTTTCCTTACTGTATTTCATTGATAGAAGGAATCACAATAGCGACTTTGTGATAATATTAAATACTGACCAATTCACTTTCAGGTCATTCCAAAAGATCTAGATGACTTAAGCGCAATGCAAGGAAGAAATGCTGAGGATATGGAACTTCTTAAAACTATCACTCCCAAGGTGAATCTCATATTTATTTCTGGCTGCAAAATATTTGAAAAGCTTTTACAGGTTCTATTTAAGGTAGTAGTGTAACATAGTAGCATGTAGCATGTTCCATACCAAGCTTTAAATATCCTTGGTGGTGTAATCAAAAGTCTCACTTTTACAAGATGCTTTTGCCACCCCTCCTCAGTTGTTGTAGATGTATAAACAGGATTTCATGTGACTACCGCCAGGTGAACCTCCTACTCGCTTGTCTACTCCTCACATAAAAAACAAATTGATTCCATTCTTATTTTAACTGAATAAAATTAAAATTTCAGAAGCCTGAAGAGGAGATCCGCTGCGCTGAATGGCATCCAACAGACGCTAACCGTATAGGCGTTGTTTACGAGGGTAGTGTGACCGTCCACGACGTGAACACTGGCTCTCCTATCAGCACCGCCGCACCAGAGGGCAAGTCCAGGCTCAAGTTCACCGGCGGGAAGTGGAATCCTCATCAGGGACATTGCCAGGTGGGCGGTGATGATTGCGCAACACTAGCCTCTGCTCCCATCTGACCAGCCCCGCTCGTCGTGCTCTAAGCTAAATAGAATATTGACAACAGAGGGTCCTCAAACTTTTAATATCTTTTTACCACTCGCCTTGTTTTTGGGTTTTGGATATATTGTTATAGGACCTATGGAACACAAAATATTACAAATGTTTAAAAGTAATGCAATACGACAACACGCAAACAACAACATAAACACACACAATATACAAATGTGTACATACACTCTCACAGTAATAAATCTCACAGTAATGTTAAACTTCGTGTTAATATAACAATATATTAACACGAAGTTTAACATTACCGTAAATGTGATGAAAGTAGACGAAAGTATCCTGATTTCATTATTTGCTTACAGTTTGCGGTCCTTCAAGATATGCACATAAAGTGCTACGACACAAGGATAGATTGCAGCAAGCCGTCGTGGTGCATCGATAATGCGCATAGGCAGCTCGCCAGAGATTTGGACTTCAATCCCAATAGGTATTCTGTCGTAGGCATTATATTTGCTTAATTTCTTTATCAATTTCATTTACTAGGTAGGCTAAGAAGTTATTTGTAAACTTGTAAGTTGTAAAATAAAATATTCAAAGCAAACACGACAGGCATATAAAAAACTTATTTTATTTGTGGCTTCAATTATATCGTGCTTATATAAAACGTTAAGATTGTTTTTGGGCACTCAGGGAGATGACCTTAAGAATTGAAATTTAGGCTAACTTTTCCAAGATACATATACTAGAAACGATGTACATTAGTAATTGATGCATAGGTAATGTGGGCATTGTCAAAACCCATTTATTAATAAAAAAAAATATGTATACCAACGTTTAATGGCATTTGATGAAAATGCGACCTATAATGCGTACCGAACAAGATGGCGTTACTCTTCGGTTGCTTATAAACTCTGAACTGTTCAATGAATTGGCCGCAGACAGTTCCACCTAGCCAGTGCCGGGGACGACGCTGCGCTCAACATATGGGACTACAGGAACGGGAAGGAGCCAATATTCAGCAGAGCCGACCACTCGCATTGGTAATTCTTCTTTTTTATTAGGGTTCCAAAAGGTAAAACGAGACCCTAGTACTAAGACTATCTGTCCGTCTGTCACCGGGAGTGGCGATCGACCTGTACGCGGGAAGAAATTCCAGGGTTTGGACGGTGAGGTACAACACTTACCACGAGCAGCTGCTGCTGACGGGAAGCTCAGACGCACGGGCGCTGCTCACGGCTGCCGCCAGCGTTTGCGACACCGACGAGGACGGCAAGCGCCTGAGCCAGGTGTAAGTTGCTAGGTCTTTTTTTTTACGTGAAAAGTTGACAAGCGAGCAGGCGGTTCACCCGATATTAAGTGAATACCGCCGCCCATGTACATCAAGTCCACCCGAGGGTTGCAGGTGCTTTGACAACCTTTTGAAAGTTGGGCTCACCACCACTGACCACACTCACCAGACGAAACGCGAAAGTATACTTTCACTTGACGCCGGTCTTATGTGAGGTCGTGGTACTTATCAGGACGAGCCTGCCCATTCGTACAACAACCGAGGCTGCTGCGTGGTCCTACCACTGTTAGGTCGTAGAAGAGCCCAGGAATTACCAGCGCCAACAGACCCATACAAAACTTTCTTTCTTCTAACACACTATGATTATGATATTGATTTGTGTCGAAGGGGTTGGGTTGTCGGACCCAACAACCAATGCGAGCTAGATCTACTGTAGTCTTCCTTTCAGTGCTAGAAAGCCTCCTCAAAATCATTGATCCTATGAAGTTTATGAGGGTCTAAGAGTCAGGGTTTCCTTGTCTACCAACTTCGGCGCTACCAGTTCCCGACACCCAATATTTACCAGGATTACATTCACAAATCATGTGAAGCGATGTCTCCTCGTCATCACCGCAGAATACAGAATGGAATCTCCAACAGTCCCCTTCTATTAAACGCACTAACTGACTCGAAACGCACTATTTGCTCTATCGTTCATTTAGCAATGGAGAAATCAAAAGAAAGACTAAAGTGAAGATTTACTACAAAGTATTGCGTTTATCTATCGGCCAAGTCGCCACTTACCATCAGGTGGGATTGCCGTCGAGCAATGGTCAATTAGTTTTTTTTTTAAAGTTTATAACTGAGGGGTACCCAAACACAGCAGTTGTCAGTCAGTAACCATGTATGGCTGTGTCTTTTGAAAATTGAAGCAATTCGGATTCCTAACTGGGCAAGTGTTACATAAGCTTTTAATAGGCAGTAGCCATTTATCAGTACTGGGCCACACATCTGATTATTATGTTTGTGAAACTTGTGCACTATACAGTGTAATGTCATCATAAAGATTGGAAACATATTTTAAAATATTTTTTGAATTAGGTCTTATGTACCATTTTACTATTAAAATTTGTCTGTTTGTTAGATTGGAAGACGGAGTTCTGCAATCATATGAACAGCATGAGGATTCAGTGTATTGTGCGGAGTGGAGTGCTGCAGAGCCCTGGACTTTTGCCTCTCTCAGCTATGATGCAAGACTAGTACTCTCTAGGGTCCCTCGTCATTTTAAGTATAAGATTTTGCTTTGAGCACTGTTTCATGTTGTTCTATACTATACTGTTAAGTTCTAGAAATGTATTAGTTGTAAGAGTTTAATAAAAAGTACATTTTAAAATTCTTTTTGATGTGAGAAGGTGGCAAGCGAGCTGGTGGCTCACCTGATGTTAGGTGAAAACTGCCGCCCATTGAGTTTCAGACATGTTGCCACACTGTTATAAAGTGGGAGTCAGCTATCTTACTCACAGATGAAACACAAAAAGTATAACAATTTACGCTCGTCTTTGTGAGGTTGTGGTACTTATCTGGATGAGGGTGCCCATTAATGCAACAACAAAGACTATTACGTGAATATACGAAACAACATTCACTACTAAGGGATTATTATGATTAATATATAGGGTGACTTTTCTAAAGGTGCCCAAATTCACACAGGAGGTTCAGACTTGGTAGTATAATTGCTTATTGAAATAAAAACGAACGTTTTTTTCCAAAAAAATTGCAATTCCATTCCTTGAAAAATAGAACCTATTGACAATGCGATAGTCATTCATAAATGCGTTGTATACTTTTGAAATGAACTTGTTTGCGTGTTAGTTATGAATGATCGCGCGTAAAATAAATGAGTTGCCCATAAATCACGCATGTTTTGAGATAAGTTCAAATACATGTAATTAATTAATTGAGTTATTTTAAATATTTATCATTTTTTATATAACATTATTTATGTCTACAATTTAATTTAAACAGATGGATGCACTTAGAAAAGCCTCCTTGTATATTAATGGAATTAAATTAAATATGTTTTATTGGTGAATGTATCAAAACTAACAATGCAAGAAAAGTAGTTTTGATACCTTACCTATTCACTAAAATATTATATAATATAGACATGGCAAAAATTGAAATCAGAAAATAAATAAGCATATTTTTTATTTACAACTAAAATCTCTCAGCAACCCTATTTGCAACATTTCTTAAATTTCCATAGACCTTAGAAGGTGGTGATCCCATAATGAGGTTACATATAGCTCTCCTTGCCAGTGCAATATTCTGGTAACTACCTAGTATGTGAATTTTCGAGTCTGCCAACACTATTCTTGTTTTTGTAACATTTTCTATTGTGAACTTTGTTCTACCTGCTTTTCCTGCCAACCTGCCAATAGCACGCCCCAAATGATCACCTTGCAGTGTTTTTACATCCTTAACTTCAAAAGACTCCACAAACAAATCATCCAATCTTAGTAGTGCTAATGCATCCTCAACTTCAAATCCATATATAAAGGCCTGAAAAACAATATCAAACTGTATACATTTATTTATTTATTTAAATGTTCTCCCTTTCAGCACTCGACAACTAATAGTGCTGCAGAACTCCTATTATCAAATGAAGAGATTTACCTTCTTTTTCATAATGTCTACAGCAAAGTTTTCAGTTTTGACAATTATTATATATCTTCAAGGCAAGAATTTGTGGTCTGTTACTGTGGGAGAGCATTTACCATCTGAATAATAAGAAAAAAATAGTCAAGAACCGACTAGTTTTTTAAAGTTAGGAGTTACCGACCTTTTAAAGTTAGGAGTTTTTCCAATTTGAGAAATTTTTTTTACAAAAAAAAATATATTACCTTAACAAAGTCTGCAGCCTTTTGCAAGTTAGCTATATCTCTTGTCTCGGGACCAACTCTGATTTCAACATTTCTTGTTTTGGTGTTGAATCGGACTTGAAGTAAGAGATGCTCAACAATTGGTGTAAAAATCTTAAGCCAGTTCTCTTTCAATGGAGTATACCTATAGCAATTAAAAAGATCGATATTAGAATCAAACATTTCCTAATAACCTAATAAAGCTGTGTATAATAATCACATTAAGAATATAAAGATTTTTGATTGCTTTTCTTGTTTTCTTTTATTTATTTTTCTTTAATTTATTTCACGTATTTTGTTTTGCACCTGCGTCATACTTTCTCTACTCCCAGGGTTGACTGGAAGAGAATGCTTATTAGCATTAAGTTAGCCTTTTGTTTAGCCTTAATTTGAGGTGTAAACAAAAAATTTAAAAAAAATGATAGTTAATATTAATGTTGTTTTACTGTTATTGCTGTTGCAAGTATGTAATTTTCACAACTGCTTATGTACTAAATAATACCATATTGAGTAATCCTAAGTGGAGTCTTATATTTTTGCTGTCTTTTATTATTATAATCAATGTATTGAACAAATGGACGGACGTCCCCCTGCCAGGTGGACCGATGACCTGAGAAAGGTCGCTGGTAGTGGCTGGATGAGGAAAGCGGAAGATCGTACTCTTGGGGAGGCCTATGTCCAGCAGTGGACTGCAAAAGGCTGATTGGATTGGATTGAATTGGATTGAACAAATATAATATTGCAACATAGAATACCCGTGTATCTCTTAATAATTTAATTATAAAAAATTAAAATTCTTAAACTTTATTTTAAACTTTAAGGTTATACCTATGGGCAGGAACTGCAACTTTCCTCATGTTGACTTTACTTTCGTTGGGTTCTGCATTCTTTTTCATCCTTTTTGCTTTCGGTTTTCCGTGCTTAGGTTTGCCTTGAATTCCGTTGTGTTCTTCGACTTCCATGACTTCACCTGATTCAGAAACTGCCCTGCGTTTTACATTTTTTAACTTTACCGTCTTTTTGGCTGGCAGGAAGTCATCAGTGTTAATGTTTTCTACTTCCATCTTTGAGAAGATTTAGTAATTTAAGTAAAAATGCAAACTATATAGAGTTAAAATAGAGTTATTTTGTTGCTAAATAATTCTCACATGGTCTACATAACAAATAGACAAACGAAAAGAAATTTGACAGATTCTGAGATCTGTTAATGTCAATATAAAATGCAAATGTCAAAAGATTAAAGTTGTCTTTGGCTGCGTTCCACTAAGCGCCCACAACGATCATGCTCACGACCGCAGTTATTCCCGTTCCACTTGCTTGTGAGCGTTACTGCCGTAAACTCAAGTGAAATGTATTATAGAGCGTTTTGAGCGTCGAGGTAAATAATACAAACGGCGAAAGAGAAAAAAGGAAGCAAAAGATTTAAGAGGTTAGGTTATAATCTGTAAGCCTTGAAAATAAACTTAAATAATTATTTTTTTAGAAATTTAAATTGTTTATAGTGCTAATCTTTGCACTTATTTTAATGTTAAATAATTATTGTTTAAACCGATTTATATTGAAAAAAATTATTATTTAATTTTTTATATTTAATATTAGTGGTGTATTTCATTAATTTACGTTCAAATGTAATTAAAATGTCTTTTGCGGTGACACTTTGAACTTAGACATTTTGAATTTTGAAAATGCCGCCAATTTTCTCAACGATCACTTCGACCCACCTTTTTAGATGGGTGGCCGTGAGCTTCGCGTGAGCGTTAGTCATGACGTCATAAGTGACGTTTTGGCCGCGACCACAACGACCGCGGTCGTTATGTGGAACGACCAAAGGAGCATTTTAATCGTTGTGGGCGCTTAGTGGAACGCACCCTTTGTGAGTTCTTTTGCCTAAGATCAACGTGTAGTGTGAAGTTGTGAGTTCAGATAAAGCAAGAAAAATGCAACATCAATTGTGTGCCGGTTCATAAATACTCATATCCTTGCAAAATTAAGGATAATACTCTTTGCGAATATGGATTACATGAAAGAACCACAGGTCACATATTTTTTAACTGTCCAAATTTATATTCTTTTCTTCAGTGTATGATTTTCTTCCTTCCTATATTCATCGTCCTATAATTTTTAATTCCCTTTTATTTAACTAAAGATAATGTAATCACTACGTTTAACCTTCACAACGTCCTCTTGTGTTTATGGTTTGTGTTTAACCGACTTCAAAAAGGAGGAGGTAATCAATTCGGATGTTTATTTATTCCTATTTTTATGTATCTGCGGGCACAACTCCGTCATAATTATATAGACGGATTTGCATAATTATTATTATGTTCTGGGTTTTTATTATTTCAAATAATTTAGTTGTAATTGTTTACAAACTCTTGATCAAACTACTCTGGTTTTACACCGGGTGTGTCTCTTGTTTTAAGTGAGTCATTAGACACTATTAAATAAGTAGTATTATCACACTGCTATCATATCTATAGTATGAACAGCTTTTTAACTATATTGAATAAGAATAATAAACAACAGTGTTTGAGAATTGACAGTGTTCATGGAAGCATTCATTGAAAACCGCCAAAAAAGGAAAGAAGAAGAATAAAGTTGTGACTGCATTTGTATAATGTTTTTCCTTTGTTGTTTTTTTTATTGAATATCATTGATTTTAGTTACATTGTTACTCAGCCGGGATCGTAGGTATCTTGGATCTGTTTTGCACGAGTCCAGAAGCATCGACCATGATGTCCAAGCCCGGATACGCGCTGCTTCGGCTAAGTGGCGAGAGCTCACAGGTGTGTTCTGCTACCGTAGAATACCGCCCAAGCTCAAGGGACAGGTATACAAGCCATCATCCGCCTGGAGATTGAACGGCCATGTCGCACGCCCGTCGAAAAACATATCTAAAGGATTTATTTTGATATAGCTTCCAGGAGCTAGACCTGGACGCCCAAGGAAGCGAAGGCTGGACGTCGTGACATGAGAGCCAATTGACTAACCCCTGAGGATGTTGAAGATAGGGCAAAGTGGAGGAGATTGAGTAGGAAGGCAGGCCCTAGCAATAGCCGGAATTAATGCCAGGTATAAGAAGAAGAAGTCGAGTCGCGAATCGAGCTCGAGTTGTAAAGAAACCTTGCCCGATTAGTTGATCCGTTATTATAACACGCTATTTCAATATGCAGGTCAATTCCGAGATCATTTCAAGTCGATTCGATCGACCTGAAAATTAAGCAAATCGTCTCAGTGCAATTTTTCATATTGTGTGTACTACACTAGTAGTAGTTTGTTATAACGTGTTCCAGTATATATGTAATATTTTATTTACTTGTTTAGTTTGCTGTAGCCTGGTGGATTTCACAGCTTCGTCGGAAGACGTTCGTGGATTCACCCTCGAATTCAGTTGAAACATCGTATCTGGTGCACAATGACGAGACCATGTTATTTCATTTACGGACTAAGGGGGGACAATGTAGATGATTCACGATGACGCCGTTGGCTGCGCTGTATCGTCGCAGCTCCTGTTAACGAAAGACGGACAATTCAACTAGCAAGAGGGCGCACGTTCTAAAGATCCCTCAGATGGAACCTGTAGCGGAATGTATACGTATCAGAAGTAATAAGGTCGAAATCAAGTCACGTCACGACGAATAATCGATTAAGAAAAGTATTTAACTAACACAATTTCTTCTTAATCGGACACTTGGCAGAGTGGTCGTGGCTGTCGATGGGCAGGATTGCGTCTCGCCGTCGCTGCTCGCTTCCAAAGCCGCACGTCTTGCGATGTTCCTCCATTGGAGGTGGCTGTTAGCAATGCGAGCACATTATACTGTGGTGGCTTTCGTAGTGCTGGTGATGAGGTCAATCCAGCGAGCCGGGGGTCGACCTCGACTAAAACAATTACTATACAAGAATTTATCATGAACGAGAACACTTGTCTACAAAAAAAAATTACGTACACAATTAACTTCTGGAAATACAACTCCTCCTAATTAAATTAAATAACAATACAAAAAACGTAAGCGGCAAAAGTATAAGCCAAGAGTAGATAGTACGGAAAGATACTACAATATCGTTAATTTACATAAATGATCATGATGAATATGTCCATGCCATGTATATAGATATAAATGGCATTTATATTGATGTAATCATTAATGATTACAATATTAAAAAAATGTTTATTTGGGTTGTTTTATTTATGATATTTTTGTGATATTTTTAAACAATACAAAGTGGATATTACCACGTATCATTGTTAATTATTATACGGATGCGGATTATAAATAATGTTTATCAATGAACTATTTACGGGGACTTTCCATTCGATGTTCTGCCCTCAGAGGACTAACAGTGGCGTTGACGCGGTAACCCGGGCGGTCGTGAACGCGGTCGTCTTATCGATGTTTAAGGTTATCCGACCATTTGTCCAACCATTTAAGAAGCAGGTCAAGCAGCCTCTGCATTCTTCGAATTTCTATTTCGAGCCGATGAGATGACGTAAAATACGTATGTAAATACGTAAAATACGTAATATGTCGTTGGCGAACAGTGCAAGGTAAACCCCTCTCTCGCGCTGAAGCGACCTTCCACGGTGGGGAGGTCATTGGTGTACACCACGTACAGAATTGGGCTTCGATGAACAATTAACGGGGACTTACGGTGAATGGTACTTTTTTTCGATAATCCGCTTTCTCTAACATTCACTTTGCACATTGAACTCAATGAAGAAGTAAATAGAGTTCATAATTGTCTAATAGTACGATTAATTTATTATTTTTATCATACGGCCGTTTGGCCATTCTTATTCAAAATTCAAAGTGATAACAATTTTCTGCGAGTATTTTGAGTAAAATAGTTTCTTTATTTATTTATATATATATTAATTATCCTTATAAATTTTTTACTGCAACTAAATCCAGCCCTGGCTACAAGACAAGGACGTCACTATTTTTTTTTTCTAAATGAGAGCAATGGTAGTGATTATGTCACATCTTTAGGTCGTTGTTTTGGTATTATGATTTGATTGAGGTAAGAAAAGTGTCGAAAAATATTGGTATATTGAATAAACAGTTTTAATTAAAATAATAATATCAATTTCAGGCCTACGAAAAATGGCGACCATTATTCGTACAACGTTTGTAAAAGTTTTAACTCCAGCTCAAGGTGGAAAGATAGCAGCATGCAGCTTTGTGCAGAACAGAACCATAATGGGTAAAGCCCTTCGTGAGACCTTGCCGCCGCCTCCACCAAAACCTGCACCATTTGACTACTTAAACAAAGACTATACATGGCTGAGAAGTCTTTTTGATAGGACTACTCACAGATTTGACGAAAATACAAAAGTTGTTGTAGTGGAAGGCCCCGTAGCCGCAGAAAAGACAGCGTTCGCTAAGAGCCTCGCCGAAGATCTGGGAATGAAGCATTTTCCCGAAGCGAACATGGATCTCCATTACATCAGACCTAATGGTTGCGATTTGCGTATGTTCGACAGTAAAATTCCCGAGGACACCAGAACGTTTGATCATGTTGATTTCAACCGTAACCCTAATCATCGTCTTGCGGGAAATTTCCAAATCATGATGTATACTGCCCGGTACTCTCAGTATATTGATGCTTTGGCCCATCTTTTTAATACTGGCCAGGGTGTGGTGTTGGAGAGGTCTCCTTACTCTGACTTTGTCTTTTTGGAGGCTATGTATCGGCAGAAATTCATTAGCAAGGGAGTTCGCTCGGTGTATTATGAATTAAGAAATAACACCTTGGAAGAGTTGATGAGACCTCATTTAGTCATTTATCTTGATGTTTCAGTCCCAAAGGTAAATAATTTCTATTTTTTCTTTTTTCTGCCCTTATCCCACAAGGTGGGGTCGGCAACAGCATGTCTTTTCCTTCCACTTTCCTCTCACATCATCAGTCATCTCAATACTCATCTCCCCTTTCACAGACATATCATTTTTCACACACTATCCAGATCTCTCTTGGTCTGCCTCTAAATATCACCCTCCAACTACATTCATATATATAACTCTTCTACTCACATGACTTTCATCCCTTCTCATAATGTAACATCTTGGTCAATTTTTAAGCATCTTTTGTTAAGTTAAATTTCTATACAGCTTGTCTTTACGACCACAACAATTAATGAAGACACGTGTAACGCTACTTGCCAATAATCATAAAAAATAAAAAACGTTAAAAAATCCATAATAAAAAAAAATATTTTTCAAACTAATAAATTAAAAAAGAAATAAAATTTGTATCATCCTATAGGATGTTGTATACAACTACAACTGACTGATTAATACATTCAGAGACTTTTTCATTCATTGCCACCACATCGCATTACCAGTCTCTCCTTCTAACAGTACGTTTTATCTCTTTTTAATTCATTCAACCCATTCATATGCTTTGTGACCTTTGCAAATCGTTACAGTATTATAACTGTGTATACAGTATTATAATGTTCTAAAAATGTTTTGTAAAATTTAATAACTCGGTAAATATTGACGTTTAAATAATGTAAATGCTTAATACAATCTTAAAAAGTTATCCTCTATATGTGTGTTCATTTATTGTCGCGGTTGTAACGACACGATGTATAACAGTTATTTTTATGTACACTAAAATAATACCATACAAAAATTACTGTACTTTTCAGGTTTTGGAAGCAATCAAGAAACGTAACTTAGAACATGAAGTGAAGGGGCAAGCTCTCACTGCACCATTCCTGACTGAAATTGAGCGTCAGTATAAGACCAAGTACCTCCGTGATATATCCACTCATGCAGAACTTTTGGTGTATGACTGGAGTGGTGGCGGTGAAGTTGAAGTGGTATGTAGAAGCAATGCAACTTATTATAAAAATATTTCCACTGTTGTAATATGAAAATGTTATATATACATATTTTTTTTCTAAATATATTTATAATAAAAACAAGTCACATTATTTTTTAAATTTATATTAAAAAAAGCTTTACGAAATATCTAAGAATGAAAACGAAGATATCATTTGATGAAGCCATATATATTTATGTTCTTCTAGGTAGTTGAAGACATTGAACGTTTGAACTTTGATCAATACACGGAACGTGAGGAGCCTAAGATGAAAGACTGGCGGATTCCACGTGAGATCGATTGGGCAGACCAGAGGATGTTGTACACCAATGGTAAACACTACCTGATGAACCTGCTGGCAATACCATGTCTGGATGTGCCTGAACTTATCACCAGTGCTGACGACGCTTACGAGAGAGAAAAGGTTATCAATTAGATTGGTATTCTGTAAAAAAAAAATGCTGTGAAATGTCAAATAGTGTTTTTATACTATTTGAGGAGATTATCTGATGACTGCTGATGCATGTCATTATCATTCGTTTTCCCCTCACTGCACTAAATAATTATTATAAATTTTATCACAAATTCTTTCAGGTAATCGGTGAACATCCAGACTTTCAATATATGGAGGGCTTTAACAAAAAAGATGGGTCTCTGCTGACTAAAACAAAAACACCCAAGTACTACGAGTATATTTAGATTGAAGGAGAGCTTCCTAGATTATTAACATTCAAAATATTTAAATAAAATTGTCATTGAAAACGGTTATTTTATTTGATGTTACGAAGAATCATTTAGTTTATCTACATAATTAACAAAACTAACTAATTTTATAGTTCGCGTCAAGATAGGGTAAGAGAGGCAGCGGTCGCAGTCTAGCAAAGAAATAACATCTATTAAACCTGCAAAGATGACGAGGACTTTGTTCATTCTTCCTCCCCTGTGGTTTGTAGGTTTATTGTATATACAGATAAATAAAATTGGAGTGTCCATTTGTAATATTAAAATAACCGCGTTTTACTAAATGCATATGGATGTATACACGGTACATATACCAAAATAACCAATTTTTGTCTGTCTGTCTGTCTGTTTGTTCCGGCTAATCTCTGAAACGGCTGGACCGATTTGGACGGGAGTTGGAAGGAGTAACTTAGGCTACTTTTATTTTAGATTTTTTTTTATTTTAAATTTCACGCGGACGAAGTCGCGGGCACAGCTAATGTAATATATATAAAAAAAAAGAATAATAGAATTAAAGAAAAATAATAATATGAACTCACTGCACCGTTACTATGCCAGTTGATGTACGCGGCAGTAACAGCACAAAAAATATATTAAAAAAACGCTAATCAAAAAGTACTATGGACCGCTTGAGCAGTTGACCAGAGGAGTTTGGTAACATAAAAAAAACGCCACGTCAAAATGTAGTTTCCTGAAAATATGTAAAATACACTTCGTTAGTGCAACTAAATAAAGAAGAAATGACCATAGTTAATAGTTTATCTCTTAATTCTCTGTATATTGATGTTGTCTGGTAGGACTAATTATGGCAATCAAGTGGGTTTTTTATTCTGTTCTCCGAAATGAAACAACTGGTTATTAAAGTTCCTCTATTTTCATACACATCAAAAGACAGATATATAGCACCTCATAATATCACCACACTATAAGTGAACAAAAATAGGCATTTAAGGGGTAGCTTTTGTTAAAATGCAACTTCTAGTATCTGTAAAAAGAATTTCTTTTAATACATTTAACATATTGTATGGAATATTTATACATAATTATGGTATAAATATTCGATAAGTACGATGTATATACTAGTTTTACACTACAGGAGTGCTGTGGAATAACTATAGTATACTTTATAAAACCGTAAGAACCAATTGAAATACAGCTTTACCCTTAAAGGGAAGGGAATAATTTATGAAAATTAACACGACATAAAATAATCTTTCTGTACGATGCACATATTCTTCACTCACAAGACTAAGAGTTTTGATACAACAAAGTATAATCAAAATATTTTTGAGAAATTAGTTTTTATTTTGGGTTTTAAACAGAAATGTTCATAAAATTTCTTACGTATGAGTCGGTATTAAACAAAACATTTATAAAAGCTAATTTGTAAAAAAAAAAATTATCAAAGATGATTGGTAGGGCCTCTGCCGCTAACGCGACAACATCACTCATCTTAAAGCCATAGTCAATTTTTGTGTTAAATAGAAAATATCCAATTCATAATGTACTGGAATGTTTTGTTTATTAATTCATATAAAATTACAGTTAAATATTACTAAACCCTCATTTCGTTTTAATTTAGAACACTAAAAAGAGGAACATGTATATTAACAAAATGAAATGGTGTAATAATGGTATGATAACAATACAAATAATTAATAACAATGGCAAATAACTTGATATTAAAATCATATTTTTTACATTAAAAAGTTTATTTGCGCCGTTAAGTTGAAATCGAGGCATTATCTATTACTGGTGGGTGAAAAAAATTGTAAAATATTAGGTCTGCATAATTAATCAGTGCAAATTGTATTTTAATATAATATAACATAATAAAAGTTTTTTTTTCATATCAAATTCTAGTCAAGTCACTTTGTATTCACAGCATTTTCATTCAATTTCTCTCCGTGCAAATATATGAATCTCAATATATAACTAATAATATTTAATTTTCGTTTGAGATTTTTATTAATTCATATTTACACACAGTATCATAACCACATTCATTATTAGCATTGTACAGTAGAGTTTCAAGCGCCCCAACTATGTAGTTTACATCTGCTCTTGGCCGTTGAGATATTCCGGTTTGTACCCAAACTTTGTGCTCCTGTGATTTTTAGGTGGGCGGTACCACCGCAGTGTTTCTGTGTGAATCAGAGTGATTTGAAGAGTTTCTTGTGGCCTCTGGGGCGGAATGTGGCTACATTTCCAGCAGGTAGGGTGAGTCCAGGGCGCCCAATCCTGCTGCGACCCCGCCCTCGTTCGCGTCGGCCAGTTTCGTCCTGAGCATGTGCCCCACCTGGCGGTTGCAGTATATCTTGTCTTTTGTACTGAAACGTGAAGAGTTTTGTTTTAACACAACATTGTCTAATCACACACAAAGCTAAGTTTGTTCTATGGGTAGTGGGTAAATGATAAACATACTTAAACAAACTTTTCTTATATTTTTAATGATACTAGTTTACGGATTTTGTCGCTTTCTATATTTTTAATTACCGACGTTTCGAACCCTTTACAGCGTTCGTCGAAACAATCTCTAATTCAATTAAAAATCCGAATTAAAACGCGATAAAATTTGTAAACTAATTTCATTTGACTAGTTTCATGTATAATATTCGCGTAAAGAAATCAACACGTTTTTGATGTCAATAAATAAATATTAAATTTGGAATCCCTCAAAACGATTTTGATATAGCTGTAACTTATCGGTCCAGAGATTGCAAGTCCAGACGTCCAGAGTGGTCAATCGCTGTTGATCAGTCACAGTTAAGTCGCACTGGTTAAATAACAGGTATATACTCACCCGATAATTACTCCGAATATCCCCAGCTCGGATACCAGGTCGCTAAGGGGAGGCGGCACGGGAGCACCAGGTCGCACTACGTATCCGGAAACCTGTAACGTATTTTTGTTTCTTTTTAAAATAATGCACTAACTGTAGGATAAAATTATCCTGTGCTGTATGGACGTTTTACATACATAAATTTCACGTGAACAAAATACCCAGATCCAAAAACAATTATCTGTGGGTCACACAAATAGTTGTCCCGTGTGGGAATCGAACCCACAACCCACGGCGCCGATGCCAATACCTTGGCGACTTCACCACGGAGTCATTAAAATCCTGTATTACCACCATCGCACTATAAATTACTTATTTATTTAGCTTAAATCATTACTTCTGTAATATATGTGTATATAATATATAGCATATTATGCTCAATGCGATAGCGATGTATTGAGATGTATAGCTATAAAGTATGACGCCGGTCGTCATCATTGGATAAATATATAACAGATAATAACAAAATTATATAAAAACCCAGTCGTCACTGTTGTCTGGGTGTTTATATATTTATAATATGTATTTATACCTATATAAAAGAAAAGTATTTTAGTATGTTTATCAGTTATCTAGGTCCCATAGTATAGGTATTGCTTAGTTTGGGACTAGAAAACGTGTAAAAATGTGTCCTGTCCTGTCCTGAAATATTTATAAAAAAATTATTTTATGTGCATTCTACATGAAATAAAATTAAAATAACGGCCTATATTTGTCCCACTGCTGGACAAAGGCCGTCTGGGTACAGGGCGTTTTAGGGCATAGTCTCACTGTGGATTGGCAAACCAAATATCTTTGCAATATTACACAAGTTTGACAAGATCATAGATTTATTTGCTGAACAAAAAGCTCGAAGAGTAAAATTGTAATTTCAATTCACAACCAAATGCAATAATACATTTGATTTTCATTTTTATTATACATAATATGTATAATAAAATATATCTATATATATATCGATACCTCAATTATTATAATAAATATAATATTTTTATTTTAAATCCTATCCTGTGCTGTGTATAAAATATATATCCTACACATTTATGTCTATATATCTGTAATATAAGTTACCTTAATACACACGGAAAAAATAAAACAGGAACTAGTATCATCATCATCCTCATTTCAGCCTGTTTGAGTCCACTGCTGAACATAGGCCTCCCCCACAGACTGCCATGAAGTACGATCCTGAGCCACCTGCATCCATCGACTTCCCGCACATTTGCACAGGTCGTCACTCCATCTAGTGGGGGGTCGTCAAGGAAGCTCAAAGTCGCTCAGCGAGCTATGGAGCGGGCTATGCTCGGTATTTCTCTGCGTGATAGAGTTCGTAACGAAGACATCCGCAGTAGAACTAAGATAACCGATATAGCTCAGAGGATTAGCAAGCTGAAGTGGCCATGGGCCGGCCATATAGCTCGTAGAACCGATAACCGTTGGGGAAGAAAGGTTCTCGAGTGGCAGCTTCGTACTGGCCATCGCAGTGTAAGACGACCCCCCACTAGATGGAACTAGTATAGTTTGAAATAAATAAAATATAGTAATGTGAAGCTTCGAACGCCAAAGTGGAAAAATGATATTTTCAAATAATAAATTTTACATTTCTGTAAAACTAACAGTTTTAAAATGTAAGATTAAACTGTCAGATTTACAGTATTTTACTATTTGAAACTGAAATTTTTCCACTTTTGCGTTTGAAGCGCCACGTTACTATTTCAAACTATAAAAGTACCCGTTTTCTTTTTGCCGTGCAGAAAAAAAAGCGATCGGATGCATTATTTACGGAAGGCCTATGTAGGCTTTGTCCAAATGTCAATCGATTAGTGGACAACTAATTAATAGCTGAAATTATACAGATGATAAAGGTAAAAATAAATATAAGCGGGCATGGGCGGCATATCATAGTTTTTGCCCCACCAAAAAAAAATTGAAGATCCGGAACTGGTGTAAATCAACGCAGATCGATGCATGTTACGTAGATCGAAGCATCCACGTATGTGTGCATATCCACGTACTTTGCAATGACGTACCATGTGCCCGTATCCACGTATGCACACTGCATTGACGTACGTGAGCCGTATCCACGTATTTACGCATCGGTGTGCGCGAGCACGTATCCACATATGTGTGCACTGATTTACGTATGTGCTTTTCCACGCGTGTGCGCTTATGAGCGGGTATTCACGAATGTGTTTATTTCTGTACGTGAGCGGGTATTCACGAATGTGTTCATTTCTGTACGTGAGCGCGTATCCACGTGTGCGTGCATTGGTGTTTGTGTGTGTTAAAGCGCATGTGCGCGCGCTTCGCTACCAGGGGCGGCAGGATCCGCTCCATGAGGATGTAGGCCGCCCTCTCCCTGCTGTGGCGCATCTTGAGCAGCGCCTCGCGCACCTCCGCCCCGTACAGGTTGTTGCCGCCCCCCTCCCGCTGCGGTTTCAGCACGAACCTGCAAAGCAATAGCAACAATCGGCACACGCAACGGCAGCCCACACTGGGGATGTCGAAAGTGAAGAAATATATCTATATAACGATGTATCGATATTTGTAATATCAATATCGGCCTCGATTAATCGAAGAGAAAATATCGATATATCGGATATAGGTATTAGAAACCTCTTTGTCCAAAAAAAGTTGTGTCAATTATTAAATATTTGACACAACTTTTAACAATAACATATTTAATGTATATCTGTCTTTCTGTCTGCATGTTACGCCTTCAGCCTATTCTACGCAGACGTAGTCGCGGGCGGCAGCTAGTATTGAATATTTTTGAATGGGCACACACGTCACGGAGATTGAGTGAACTATAGAAAGAGTGAACGAGAGAACGAATGAATGATAGATAGCGAACGAGAGACAGTGAGTGGCAGGAGAAGCGTGAGCAGACCACCAAGGTCCGATGATGAGGAGACAGCAGGCTGTCTTTTTTTTTTTTTTTTTATGCGAAAAGTTGTCAAACGAGCAGACGGTTCACCTGATGTTAAGTGAATACCGCCGCCCATGGACATCTGCTACACTTGAGGGTTACAGATGCGTTGACAACCTTTTGAAAATTGGGCTCCGGCTACCTCACTCACCAGACGAAACGCGAAAGTATTTGTCATACTTCCACTTTACGCCGGTCTTCTGTGAGGTCGTGGTACTTACCCGGACGGGCCTGCCCATTCGTGCAACAGCCGAGGCTGCTGCGTGGCCCTACCACCGTAAGAAGAGAGTCTGGACAAAGGAATGAGGATGGAGGCGTATGCCCAACGGACGAACGCTGGAAGAAGAACGAGTGAACGATAGAAGGGTTGAAAGAGAGAACGAGCGAACGAGCGAACGACCTCTCGGCGTCGGCGAGCGCCATGTCGACCGCCCGCTCGCCGCCCTCGTCGAAGTCCAGCGAGTAGAGGCCCGTGAAGATGTCCCTCACGCGGCATGCGGCCGCGCCGCCGCCGACGAACTGCTCGAGCACCCCCGCCCCCGCCAGCGTCTGCTGCACCTTCTTCGTGCCCGCCAGCTGGTACTGGATCGACGGACATTTGATGGCGCTGCGGACGATCGGAATTGGGTTTTTCTTATGCGAGTAGGCGGCAAGCGGGCCGGCGGCTCACCGGGTGTTAAGTGATAACCGCCGCCCGCGGAAGTTTGCGACGCCCGTAGGGCTGCAGCATTTTATAAAGAGGGCCCCGCCAACCTCGCTTACCAGGCGGAACGCGGAAGTATGACGCTCCCACTTGACGCAGGTCTTCTGTGAGGTCGTGGTACTTATCCGGATGGACCTGCCCATTCGTGCAACGGCCGAAACTGTTGCGTGGCCCTACCACAGTTAATACAGTGATTCATACAGTTCCTTTAAGTAATGAAACGATTATAACTATGACATCACCTGGTAGATATGGTTTCGACAACTTACCATGGTCGAAATATTTATTGTGCTCATACTTATTTAATGACGATTTAAATTTAACACATGTGGTGGACCGCCAGCTCGCTTGCCATCTTCTCACATAAAAAACCTAATCCTTTTCACGTAATTTCATTCGCAGCTATCCCAAAGCGACCCCCCCCCCCACCCTCCAAAAGCTAATTACAGCAGTGGATACTCACGTGGATCTCTCCACACGTAACCGGGCGTCCCACTCCCTGCTGGAGGGATATTGGGCGGGCTCATAGCCGGACCTGTAGTACACCACAGCAACAGGCCGCCCGTCGCTGAAAGGAAACGGTCGAATCAGTCACAGATGAGTAACAGCGCAAGTGTTGGCAACACTAAAGGAAGTCATTCCTTGAGGTTCTTGGCAATACTAAAAGAAGTGTCATTCTGTGGGGCATAAATGAAGCTGCAAGAAGCATTTCGTGGTCTTCGTCATCTTTCTCTGGCTGTCAACAAGAAGTATACGCGATAATGTTGCCCAATCGGTATCACAAAATAAATCGTTAGCGTGGTGTTTCATTAGTGATATTAAAGTGATAAAATAAGTAATTATACCAGTGTTATTGTTGTGCAAAGTGAAACTACGGTGATTTGGTACAAGTATTTATATATTATACCTTCTTAGCTCGATAAAACAAAGTAAAGCTAACACAACTTACGGAATTTGTTCGTTTGAAAGTGGTTCGAAAATAAGAGGTGTAATGAAAAGATTTGGTAAGAAACCTAATTAATAGCACATGTGTTTTTATAAAGCTTTCTCCCTGGAACAGAAATATCAATGCGAATTAGGAACGAATGTCCAGGAGATTTTCTCGGATTCATGGAGAACCGAAGTGAAATTTATTATACTTTTATGTTTCGTCTGCTGACAGAGGTAACCCGGGCCCAACGTACACTCATGTATATAAAAAAATGCGAGAGAAAGAACGTATCTTCATTATTACACTAATACTTACAGTACAAGTTGTTTCTTATCGTTGAGTGTTGTCTCGACGTAAATTTCGTTCAACGTCTTCCTGTATATCTGTAAAATAAGTGTAAATGAGCAAAAATCACATAATATAAGGCTTTTTATGTGATTTTTGCTCACGATAAAATTAATAATCAATTATTACTTTCACTTCTACTATGAGACTCGATTCTGTACGAGCAGACGAATAGGAACATCTATTTACATTGTCAATTTTGATATTTAAATGAGAATATTGACTGTAGTTTCTCAGTACATACTTGCAAATGTTTTGTATGTCCATAAAAATAAGAATGACTTTTCAAGATTTGCAACAAGTATAGTACATAGCATACAAGGCATAGTACATGAACAAGCATTTATTTTACCCTCAACTAAATAAATCTTTTATACGTTGTCCCATGTATACGCTTTTACAAGAAAATCCCGGAAAACGTTCAAAATGAATCTGTTGCTAAATTCAAAAGACTTGTAAAGGAACGTTTGTGTATTAAAGACTATTAAAGAAAGCAAGGATCGCGGAAATAGAGAAATCTCCGCGTGTGATAGACACGAGTGTTTATGTGTGTGTGTTATACAGGGAGGCTTTTCTAAGTGTATCCATTTTTTTTATTAAATTCTAGACATAAATAATGTTATATAAAAAATGATAAATACTTAAAATCCCTCGTAAGGAATTAATTACATTCATTTGAACTTATCTCAAAATTTATACGCAACTCATTTATTTTACGCGCGATCATTCATAACTGACACGCACACAAGTTCGTTTGTGTGAACAGTAATATTTAGGTATTTATGAATGACTACCGCGTTGTCAACAAGTTCTGTTTATTAGAGAATAGAATGGTAACTTTTTGACAAAAAAATTTTTTCCATAAACAATTATTCTACCGAGTGTTAACCTCCTGTGTAAATTTGGGCACCTTTAAAAAAGTCTCCCTGTATAGGTCACCTGGATGTCGGGCCTCTTCTCGGATATCTCGAACTCGTGGAAGCGCTGATCGCATATGTTGTACGACACCTCCTCCACCACGAAGAGTATGATCGCCGAGGCGACGTCGAACAGATCGTACGCCTGGACGATGCCGGCGCATAGGCCCGACAGCGCGTTGTTCACCGGCATCTGAGGGAATTGACCGCATAACAATTCGCCTAGTGTGGATAGCGGGCAATGTAGTCGGGCGTGGAGAACTTTCTATGTGTGACTTTCTATGTTCTCCTACTTGGGAGTTTAACGAACGAAAAGTTCTTCTTCATTCTCCTGCCCTTGTGCCCTAGGTGGGGTCGACATAGCATGTACTCTCCTTGAAATTTATAGAAAAAGTACGAAATTATTGACGCCGCTATGGGAATCGAACCCACGTCTTCGGCATTCGCGGCCTGACGCGTTAGCCACTAAGCTAAACGGCTGATTGCCACACCGACGAAGACCTTAACGTCTTTTATCTACATTTTTTTATCATTTGAAGCAATGCTTGGCGCATCCTTTGTTATATCTCTATGTCTAAGTATATGAACTTTCCTTCACAGACATAACTATCATTCTTCACACAGTCCATCCAAAAATTTCTCGGTCTTCCTCTAGCGTTGCACCTTCCAAGTTCCAACCACGTTCATATTCATAACTCTTCTAATCAGATGACTTTGACTCATAACGTGTCCATACCGTGTCAACCAACCGCTCCTTATTTTCTCATTCACTGGTGCCACTTTCAAGCTTTCCCTAATACACTCATTTCGTATATTATCCTTTCTGGTCACACCACGCATCCATCTCATAACTAACGAAAGCATACGCAAAAATTGACGATTACCCTAGGCTGGCATTTAGTAAATCGGTCAAGCACTAAAATAGATGACTTACATTTTTGATTAGATCCCCGTGACCCAATTGGCGAAGGATGTAGCTGAAAATTAAAAAATATATGTATATACGTTAAAAATCGAACTTATAGTAATCAATGTAAAAAGCAAATGCAATTGCAGCTATGAGCAGCAATAAATATGAAAAAAACTCTCTAACGGGAAGATTGAATGCAGCTATCTCTTCTAGAAGGTAAAGTTACTTCTCGTGTTTATAACAAAGCCGCGATAAAATTCTTATAAAAAACATTGAAATACTTTTAATTGTTTCGATACTGTTTTCTAGAAAGTTCTCGTAAAGTTTTCCCTTTGCTTCTAGAATAAAATAAGTGACATCTTCATTTCCAAATTAATCTGAAATATTTTAAACAAATTATATTGGATAAACTGACTTGATTCCAAAGGTAAAGGTAATTTCATTCTATAACTGATAATCGCGAAGCTAATTATGCTATATAACATTTATGACATCATTGATCTAGCTGCTTTCAAAAATGCATTTGAGATGTTTTTACAAATAAAATTCGATTCCAATATTTACATAACATTACATCAGTAGTATAGAACAGGACTAAAACGTGCAGACAAACAAATTCTAATGAGATACAGTACAGTGAAAATGAAACAACGCTAAATATTAAGATACAAAATGCATGCGTATTATATAAAGAAATATACAATTTTTTTATGTACATCTGGGATTTAACAAAGTTTTTGTAATTTCAATTGGTTATTGATGAGGCGACACAAACACAAGTTTTTTTATACTCTTTTTCGGGGCCTACAAGTGTCTGTAGGTTCGTCCGATCTGATCTCCGATTTTGATGCGACTTTAGTTTACTGATAAGGAACTTGACTTGGGATATTCTATTGTTTTACTATTCCTGCGACTCGGCAACCTAGACCCATCGTCTAGGTTGCCGACTCGCAGGAATACAAATCTAGAGTAGATTTGTATTCCTGCGTACTGACATTTTATATCAGTCATCGCCTGTACAATTGCTGATATATTGATATATTGTATTGGTTACAATTGTCAGAATCGAGAGGGGATTATAAAAATTAATCCTAATTACTTAAGCTTTTTTTAAAAAACCCTAAGCCACCGTCAGACTTATACGTATATAGGCTCTGAAAGCAAACGATTTCATAGTTTATTGTGGCATATGGTATGTCATTGCATGGTTGCGTAGAAAAGCTATTTTGAAAATCGCCCTTTTTGTCGTTCAAATCATATTAATTGGTATTTGGGCTTTTTTTATAAAATTCTAACAAATATGTGTATCAGATCTTTTTACATTTTATTTCCTAAAGGGTGTGTACGCAATTATTATATGGCATTTGCGATAAAGGCATTCAATACCTGGCCGCGTAATATTGGCGTTTGTCGGTCATATTCTCTCGTTTCTGCTCTCAATTGCATTTGTACTTAAACTATTATACATAAATTAAATTGAAAAAGGTTACATATAAAGAAAATCATTATATAAATTTACTTTTTCTACATGTTTTAATTATTATATAATTTTAATATATTGCATTAACATGTAACAAACGTTGCAAAAAAGAATCAGATGTTCTTTTTAGCAAGACTGCGGTCTTTGCCCATAGAGACGCGTCTAATTTTCAAACATTTACTAACTTCATTTAAATAAGAAAAATTATGAAACTTAATTATTTATTCTACGTCCATTTATTAAATTGATTATATATTGCATTACGTTGCCTTTGTCGTTCATTGGACGAACTGTCTAAACAATATTATTACTTTACATGTCGTTAACGGGGGTAAATCCCTAGTAGAAAAACAACTTAACAGTAATACAAAAAAACATATTACGGAATGAAAGCATTAATATTAAAAATTGCAAATATAATCTGTAAAATGACGGTCATAGGTCAATGACAGTTATCATTGAGTTTTATTTACAAATATATTATCACCAGTAAAACCGTGATAGCTCAGTGTCCGGGTGCTCGCCTTTAGTTTAATATACTCGAGCAACCTGAGTTCGATCCCCGATGCCAGCACCAATGAAATTGTCAATTTTAAGTGCTGAATTATCACGTGCTCAGAGGTGAAGGAAAACATAGTGAGGAAACCTACATATTTTCGAGATAATAACAAAAAAAAATATTTCGAAAATATGTGAAGTCCGCCAATCCGTAGTGGGGCCGCGTGGTGGACTATGCCCTGGTACCCTCCTTACAGAGGATGCCTTTGCCCAGCAGTGGGACAGGACAGCAGTGTATAGGCTGATACTTTACTTTATTTACTTTATCACCAGTAATAAAGCAAGAACTTTATTATTTTACAGGTTGCATCTAAATTCTATTAGGTCTTGGAAGCACTAACTTGATTTCTGTTCCTACCGATCTTAGAGTATATAGCTATTTAGTGCGCTACTGTGGTAGAGGTCTGTAGTAAACAACAAATTCTTCGTCACTCACGCTCTGTCCAAGCCCTTATTCACCATAAATAGGGCTTATTTATGCCGAAGAATATAATAATATAAGATTACTAGGTGACCCGGCAAATGTTTTTTTGCCATATAAATTATTTTTAGGGAATTTGTAGGGTAGAGAAAAATGTTTGGGGCGGACATCCTTATCACTTACTTAAGGGTATAAAAATTGATTACGACCGATTCTCAGACCTAGCCAATTTCATAAAAGTCGATCAAGCCGTTTCGGAGGAGTATGGCGACTAACATTTTTATTTTAAGTGAAAACTTCTTTAACGCGGTAGGCATATTTTTAGATGAGATAAAATCTCTGGACTCGCGACACCGTTATGAGACACAGCTATAGTGTGTGCTTAATTGAATAGAGAATTTGATTTTGCCATGTCCAATCAACGCAATATTAGCACAACGAGATATAAAATTACAATTGATGCGGTATTCACGAGATATTTAAATAACTTCGAATCAAAATTGTTTATTTATATTATTTTGTTTATCTACAAAATGTCTAACGCCGCAAAGTAAGTTGTCACTTCTGTTGGCACTCCCGGAGTGCAACCCGTCGTTTTTTTTTTTTATTTATAAGTTGTTGTCGGATTATTATGCCGATTCTTTTTTAAACATGACAAATCTATTTTGACAGGTATTATTACAGAAAAGGGTAACCCGTTAAAAACTCGTGAGGAACTCGTAAAACAAAGCCTTGTCATCAAATGAAATTAGCTTAGAAAGCAAAAAAACTCAACTGAATATTAACACTTCAATAATTCGAATTGGGGTATATGATATTATTATTGTATACTTTATTATACACCACGAAGAATTTGATACAATTAGTATAAAATAAGTCTTAAAAGCTAGGTACAATAAGGCGGTATTATCGCTACAAAGCGATCTGTTCCAGACAACCTTAGGACGAGGAAAAATAAACTAATGAATAGTGGGAGGTGGTGTGCTCAATGAACTTGCTTAATACCAAAATAGACTTAAATATTATTTTATATTATTTTATAAAATAAAATAAAAATATAATAAACATACATGAATAGATATATAATATACAGCGTGTCGTTACACCAACACACGTCTAACGCTACTTGCCAATAATCATAAAAAAATATTAACGTTAAACAAAATCCATAATTAAAAAAAAATATTTTTCAAACAAACTAATTAAGTAAAAAAGAAACAAAATTTGTAACACCTATACAACTCACGCCACAGCGTCGCATTACAAGCCTCTCCTTCTAACAGTATGTTTTGTCTCTTTGAACTCATTCAACCCATTCATATGCTTTGTGACCTTTACAAATGAACTTTACGTTTCGCTTTTATAGGTAAGGGTATTCTAAAATTCTTTGTTTTTGAAAATTTAATAACTCTGTAAATATTGATGTTTAAAGAATTTAAATGCTTAATACAACTTTAAAAAGTTATCCCCTATATGTGTGTTCATTCATTGTCGCGATGGTAACGGCAGCTGTATATGAATAACATAAATAAATACACGAGAGAAGAATTAAATTCTCTAAATGATAATTTATTTAACAAACTCTAATTGTAGTGTGGATGACATCGTATAATTTACAATAGAGATGGGTCGTATCGCTTTTTCTGAGTACCGTATCTGAATCAGATATCGATTTCAAATATCAGATTTCGAAACTAGATATTTTAATATCTAGATATTTTACGGTCCCGTATCCACCTTGAATTCTAAAAAAAAAAAAAAAAAGCGTATTTAAAAGTTGATTCATTCTATGTACATAATTTTCCTGATTTTTAAAACTTAACTTATTTACAATGATGTGTGGGTTAATAATTATTTAGATTCCTCCGGGTTTAAATTCACGTTTACGAACGTAAGCTGTTTGACTTTAATCGTCGAAAATCTTGTTCGACGATCATTGTACCTATACATAACTAAAGCTATTACCAGTGATACCAACTGTTCAAAAAGAATAATTCAAAATAAATTCGAAAACCCACTAAAATTGACTAAATTCAAAAAACTTACTGAATTTAAAATCACGATTTTTTTATCCTATTAAGGTTAAATTAAAACATTACCTGATAAAATTAAAAATTTCATTAAAAATAGAAATTGAAGTAATATAAAAATGATTTATTTTAACATCTTATATATCGCTTAATAATTGACTTTAACATATTTTTAAAACACGCAATCATGAGTGACAATATCTTTATAATTTGTGTAAGAAATAATACATTCAGTATTATAACTTAGGGCGGAAGAATTTAAAATATACACACAAAGCACATAAGCCTTGGTCTGATTTTCACCCAAGCAGCACTACACTATTAAATTATATTTTTCTTTTTGTGTACTTTTATTTTTTTCCAAAAATATGAATAAAATTTAAGTAATAAAAATATTCACAAAAAATTTACCTCCTAAAAAATTTCCATTTATATTTTTCTTCCTTAATTTAGGCAGAAAATTCTTAAGTAGTAAGTTGGCATCCCTTACTATTACGTGCTTAGTACCAATGCAATCCAGCTCAAGACTAAACAAAATTTAAAGACATCGTTAATACCGTAATTCGTATTTAAATGCAACTAAAAATGTTTTTTTCCGTGCTGTTAATATTCAAAATTACCTAACTGCGCGCTTTGTCGCCCGTTACGGCTCAAGGCTAAACAAAACAATAAAAATATACTTAATAATATCGTTGTAGATACCATGATTAGTATTTAATTGAAACGGATCTTATTTGCATGGTCTTAAGATTCAAAATTACTTAACTCATTCATAATATCTGTTTAAAAATCTGATATTGTGCCTTGCTTGCCGTACTGCTCTAACTAGTGTAATATTTGTATCTAACGCGCTTTGTCGCTCAAAATCTGTTTAAAAATCTGATATCGTGCATTGCTTGCCGTCCCGCTCTAACTAGTGAGTATTTATATCTCACGCCCTTTGTCGCTCGAAATCTGATATCGTGCATTGCTTGCCGTCCCTCTCTAACTAGTGAGTATTTGTATCTCACGCGCTTTGTCTCTCGAAATCTGTTTAAAAATCAGATATTGTGGCAAACGCGTATGATATCGCGATTCGTGTCGGTATAGCGAGCGAGCACGGTACATCAGATTTCGGAAATATCAGATATTGTAAAATACATAGATATTGAACGAGCCAGTAAGCGATATTCGGATATTGTACTAATATCTAGTTTTCATATCTGATACGATTTGTATCGCCCACTTCTAATTTACAAGTCATCGTCCCATTTGATAACGGCTGTGGACTTAAAATTATTTCGAATAATTGCTTAATCATAGATAAGGCCCAAGATTTATGAACTTTTCGGTGAGACATTGCTGTACTATATTCTACAATTTGATTTTGGGGCATCAAGTACATGACAAACTAAACGATAGAGACATTAATTTTATTAAACATATCTAAATCTGTAGATAAATGGTTACCAATTATTTTAAAAGTGCGAAATTTGCATTAATAAAACGTCACAGTGTGCGTAAAAGGGACGACGCTACATTGATGCATGTGTGTGTGAATGAGTACAAGCTGACACCGAAAAGTTTGAAAGATGTGTACCCTAAGCCGAACCCAGCGAAATGAGTGGAGACAAAACGATCACACAAACAACTACAACGCGGAACAACACCATTTTCATAACCGACAATGCAGGCCTCAGGTAACATCTCTCAAGTGAACACTACCGAAGCTATGCCCTCGAATTACATGCACTCGAACGTTCTAAATCTAAAACAACATATATCTTTTTTTTCTCTCGTAAAACATGCCAGTAATAACAAATTTACGATACGGTGCAAATACAAAAAAAGCCAAAGCAGTGCGTACAGATTAAAAAAAAAACAAAAAACAAGCAATATCCATAGTGATGTGAAAAATGATTGCATAGCGTGCATTGCCAAAGGAGGAGCAGTCACATGAGAGATGTTGACTGAAAAGCCGCTTATGCGTGAGGTGTGACATTGAATTTCTTATGCATTAAACAAAAAGCTCACTCCGTTACAATATATTTTTAACGGGTAACATTGGATACACATGTCACGACCCCATACACACAGCGGCAGCACAAAACATGTCGGTACCGAGACATGGCGGGAAGTTCGGACGAGATGGCGCCAAAACTCGACGCTATCGTGTTAATCTCCACTTGCTTTATTCGGTTCGCCTCTGTACACTGCATCAGGTAGTCGGAGCGGAAGAGACCAAGCATGATCGACTGTAACATGTAATTATTATTTTTTTTAATTTGGTCTAATGTCTTATCCCAGTGTTACAACTCAGACATTAAAAAAGAATCAATACGATAAATAAAATTGTTAAGAGTTTAATATTTATTTTTATCGCTAAGCGTGGGATATTATTGTTGTTGTACAAAAGTAATAAATGAACAATCCACAGTGGGTTCATTACTACCATTTCAACTGCAAACAATTGCAATTGTACAAAAGCGATGAGAATTATGAGTTTTAGATTAGATATTGAGATTAGAGATTGAGAATTATGGCATAATCGTTGTTTGATGTAAACTTTGGGATTTATAACAACACATATATCATCTGTTTTCTTATAGACACATAAAAATGGGCTACAATGGATGGGCCACTTTTGACAATATGCTCTGATAAAAAATATAAATTGCTTTATGGGCAAAATTACGAACGATACGTACAGAACTAAAAATGTAAACTCGAACATATTTTTCTTTTAACCTTGCACCCAGTAGTTCAACACTTTTTGTATTAACTGATGTTTGTGATTTCAGTCCCGAGACTATTAAAGCTTCATCTGACACAACACTTTTTACTTTATTTTACTTCCATGGTCTCTATGACTTTTCCTCTAAAGTGCATAGTTTCCAGGATACCGATCGAAAACGTTTTTTCAAGATGGCGCTTTATCAGCTATTTTTATTGGTTTAGCAAAGGTAAATATCGATTTACTGTTTTAGATCATGCAAGTCATATTCGAGTGGCGCGAAATCATATATCAAATAGTGAGAAGTTACATGATTCGACATAATTTGCGAATATCATCAGCATTATTGACGAACACCTGTGGTTAAGGCCCATTTACACGATGCCATTTTCTTGTACATACAAGAGCAATAATTGAATGCAATAAATTGCGCGCAATAATTGGTTAGCAATTCACGTGTTAAGTTTCATGTTGAGTGCAGAGACTAGCACTCAGAATAAAATTAATCATAAAAACCGACCAAGTGCGAGTAGGACTGGGGCACGAAGGGTTCCGTACCATTATCTATATTTTTTATTCTGTTCTTTAATGTTTGCTGTTGTAGCTGCAACAGAATTACATCTTCTGTGAAATTTCAACTATCTAACTATCACGGTTCATGAGATGCAGCCTGGTGACAGACAGATGGACAGACAGACAGAAAGAAAGACAGACAGCGGAGTCTTAGTAATAGGGTCCCGTTTTAGCCTTTGGTACGGAACCCTAAAAAGGCTAATATCGGCTTAAGTTTTTTTTTATCTCAAATGTCAAAACTAAATCTTTCAGATGTTTCACCAAATTTTATACAAAATATTTATACACAGTTGACTATAAATAAATGGTTATTCTGGTTTATAAAAACAACAAAAAAAAATGTAAGTGATGAAATATTATGAAAAAAGAAATTGTTAACTGTTTACTGTTAAATCAATTCAAAGAGTTTAACCATTCTTTCGGCAACTTAAGTAATTTTGGAAAAGCCATTTGCCTGCTGATTAGTTAACTTCTACGATGCTCAGTGTTTCGGAAACCGGGCGTAAAACTCACAGCAGTGCCGTGCCTTTTGTTATATGGATTTTGTTATGTTTTGTTTTGTTATATGGTAACGTTTTTGTTATATGGAATTATGAGTCTTTAATACTGAACTTCGTCAAATAATTTTATTTCTATGGGATCATGCTAAAATCTTACTGTAACAAACGAGGCACTCCTAATTTTTTTCTCGATTACGTGATACCTATTGCTTACACTTTGAACAAAATTTGAAACTCTGCCAACATTTTCGAACATGAAATAGTTTAGGTTAATTGTAACATCAATTGATGCTTTTTAATTTTTTGCCATGGGATAGATGCTTTATGATATATTTAATTCCAATCTAGGAGTTGAGTAAGAAGATCATATGGATAAGTACTATTTTATGTATAATTTATATACTGAAACAACTTGGAGTATTATTGTTCAGTAACAGGAGTAATGTTTCAAAATTAAATCTCTATATATATTAAAATATACTGAAAATATCCATAGACTGTTACTAAAAATGTATAAGTGCTGTGAACCAGTATTTTGTAAAAGAGTAGTAATAACATTTCCTTCTTTTACCCAGTTAATAATAAAGAAACATTATAAATTGTTAAAAAATGTTAAAAAACAAGTTAAACAAGGATTGGTATAAAAACAATTTTATGATTATTTTTGTTCACCAAGTATTTTTTTGCAATTATATAGGTACTTCATTCAATTAATTTGATCTATATCAATAAAAAAAAATTAAGTAACTTGGAAATAAAAGAGCCATAAAAACTGTGATAACCTTAGTAGAAAATTTAGGAAGAAACATAAAAATGCACAAAACCGCCCAGAGACAGTTTTGTTTCGAAAAAATTGCACTTGTAATATCCCATATTCTAATGATTATTTTGAACTATGAATAACTTTAGGCTATTTAATATTCTTACACACATTACTGTTGATCCATCCCAGTTTATTATTTAAAACATGTGAGAACATACTACATATTATTAATATGCTATTTATTTGCATGGATTTAAATGAGATGCTTATTAATACACAAAATTCACATAAAATTCAATTCAAAATAGAAACATTTTTAATGCACATTCCACTAGAAAAGATAGGTATTTTACAGAACACGATATGTACAAGGAAAACAAAAGTTCGTGCAAGTTTTTCGAAATCAAAAGCCGAACTGTTCTGCTGTACTTACACAACGCTGCTAATTACACAATGTTAAGATATGAGACAAAACTACAACGTATCAAGACAGGACCGTTCATAGTGTAACAAGACAATAGAATTGTCTTTACATTACGATGGGCTACCTCTGTATATCCCTCGAGATCGGCCCGAGATGACCAAACCCGGAGGCAATGCTGTTGATTTCCACCTGCTTCCAAGAGCAATAGGGCGTGTGTTTCGCACACTGGTTCTCTGTGTGTGGACACCTCGAGTCCAGCATTATGTCGGAGCGCAGCATGCCAAGAGATATGGGCTACGCCAGACATATACCAAATGTAACTAAGCCCTTTGACTATGCAAAGTTTAGGACAAATGAACAATTAATTAACAAATAAATCCCTTGCAGGTCCATACTTATTGATTGCATCAATAATTCTGTGTTTATGAACAATTAATTAACAACTAAATCCCTTGCAGGTCCATAATTAATGTTTGCATCAATAATTCTGTGTTTACTAAGCATGCCCATAGTGTTTCTTATTAATTGTTAGAAGAACACAGAGTATTCAACAATAAATATGTATTGTAATAAGCAAATGTACGTAATACAAAATTATGGCATATGGTAAATTTAACTATTTTATTGATTTTATTTATTGCATTTTATCTTGTTTTTATATTCTAAACATTTCAAACAATTTTCAGTGTCCTTGGTCATGGGACAGATTATATCATCAATTACTTGAAATATTAAGTTCAGTCCGATTTCCACAAAAGTAGTTTATAGTGTCTAGAAATCTTGCTCGTTATTAAGATATAATGAAATCCACAAAAATGGACTATTTTAACGATTTTTGATGTTCATATAATACAAGAAATCATTTAGTATTTAATATTACATGATAATTGTTTTTCACTGTGAAGTCCAATAATATAACTAAAGTTTCTGACATTTTTTGCTTAAGACAATGGTTTTGATGAATTTAGCATAAGAAAATGATAAATAAACCTACAAAATGATAAAACATTAAATCAGATAAATTAAGGATTTTTTCCAGTTTTAATTACCTGTGTAATTCCCTCTTGCCGGACTTTGACCCATATGTCGTACAAGTTTGCTGTGAACTCATCTACTTGTAGAGCATTCTGTAGTGTATGTTCCAAGAATTTATCATCATGGGCTACCTGCAAAATAAAGTTGAATGTGGGAATTCAATTTGTTAGAGAAAATTAGAAATATACTACTAATTATTTAAAAAAAAAAGATGTTCACTAAGAGTAATACATATTTATGTGCAATAATATTCTTATATATGATACATGTTTCATTTTTAGCAACAGCCTTAAAAAAGACTGAGCTTTAAGAGTGTCTTAATTCAAATTATTATAAAGACAAGTAACCCTATCCATTAATTTACAGAAATTCACAATTTAAGTTTCATTCATGTCATATTTAAATCAGTACTGTATGGACTTTTAAAATTAAGACTTACCTTATGCATCAGTTCATTAAGAATGGGTTGCAATTCAATTGCTTTATTGAACTCAGTGCTAGGGAATGGAGATGGCAGTAACACAAACGGAGCTATCTGTTGAAAAAAAAAAACATAAAAAAATTGTAATTGTGGGAAAGCTTTTTGGGAAAACATAAACTATGAATTAAAAAAGTTTATATAAGTTGAAAACTTAAAATAATAAAAATTTTAAAAATTTTAAAATAATAAAATAAAAAATTGGAAAAAATAATGATTAAATCCCAACTAACTACTATGTCTGGTTTCTGAAGTTCTCAGTTAAATTCAGATTATTTTAATAAAGTTATACATAATATAGACTATATCACTGCGTTTCTGAATACTTAACAAACCATTCAATAACTATAGAACATATAAGTAGTTTCTTGTCTCCCACTAGATCAGTGATTCTCAACCTTTTTTTTTGTTGCGGCACATATTTAACGATTTCAAAATTTGGCGGCACACAAAGAAAAAGATAAAAATTATTTACTTACTACAACACACTGCATAAATAGTTTAAGACAAAAATTTTAAATATACGAAATAAACTAATATATACTACAATAATAACTAAACGTTTATTAAGGGATTAATTACAAGCTAATAATAAAAATATTTTTAATGCGAAATTTGATCTTGATGATTTTTGATAATTTTTCATTTACATTTGGTAGTAAAAATGACAATGCTCCTCTCATATCGTCTTCTACATTTAACAATCTTGATCTTTTTTTAGTTTTAATGTTGGCTAATGCCAAAAAATATTTTTCTTTTTAAATGATATAATTTAATAATATTAACATTATTATATATTTGCAAAATTTGGCTGCACACTTTTGAAATTTGGCGGCACACAAAAGTGCCGCGGCACAGTGGTTGAGAATCACTGCACTAGATGGTAGACCCATTTAAGTAATTAAATTAAATTAGATTTATTTTAAATTAATTATATTTATTCTTTATAATAATATTTTTTAAGTTAAATAAGTGTTTTAGTAGTAAGTAATGATAATTTTCATTAATTTATAATTGTTTATTTTCATTAATAATTAATTGTCAGCGAATGCATTACAACATTATTGTCAAATAAAAAAACCACGGGCTGCTAGCTCATTGTCCTGTCATTGACTGTTTTCTTTTGCATATGGTAATATTTTTTTACTTTCTTTACTGTTTCAATTATAAGTTTAGTTTGAATATTGGCTATCATTGCTTAAATTTAACCTTTATTTTGTAAAAAAAAAATTGTCATTTGGAAAAAGTAGCAAAAATTTAATTGAAAGAGACATGTAGAAACATATTGAAAGGTCCTAGGTCTTTATATCTGTAACCAACAACAAAAATATTCATAGGACTCTATAGAGGCGAATACACATTAAGGTTTTTTATTTTTTTATCCTTTAAACAATTTTAATATTTAAGTATCACCAGTAATTTCTTTTTACAATAACACGAATTAACCTAAAACTAAAATTTAACAATTAAAACGTCAAATAAAGTTATGGAACCGATAGAGGCACTAATTGGTCAGTTAGGTTAACCTAAGTTTAAACGGAGTTTATCTTACGTGGCGTTGTTCAGAAACGCAGTCTTGTAAGTTATTGAACCAATAACGCTAACGAAAACACAAACTGCCGACAAAAGTTCCTCAGAAACCGGGCATAAGACGAATGTACTATTCCCATGTACTCCAGTTACCTGTATTGAATCTTTAGTGAAATGTTTTTTATCCCGCATTCCAACACCATGCATTAATGCCCAATCTTTCGCTTTTTCAATTACAGTGACCAATAATTTATGCTCTAAAGGGAGCGGGATACAAGATGTAAGTCGACTCTGGGACATGACTCCGTAGTTTGTTTAACTAAAAAAAAATTATTTGTTTATCATAAAATATTTGGAGGTAATTGAGACGTTTGAAATTTAAACCATAAAAGGTCAATATGAAGAAGATACTGTTTAATTCAAAAAATTATATATATCTGATCTGATACTGTTGTCAAATTTTGTTTGTCAATTTATTATTTATTAAATTTTGTCAATGTCATAGCAAAGAGTATACCACAAATAATAGAACAGAAGTACTTAGCTCTTCAAGAGTAAAATCCAACCCTGTATCCGTAACAGTACTAGTCATAGACAATAGTTATTTTTTCCGTTCGTTTCTATCTTTTACGGTTCAAAATTCTAAAATATCGTTTTTGATACGATTTCGATGTTAAGAAAGGTCACAAGATGCAAAAGATGTCTTGTGTGACCTTTCAAAAGCCTTCGACTGCGTAGACCACAAAACTCTCCATGACAAGCTAGATTATTATGACATCGCCCTCAACCTCATTACCTCTCATTCACTCTCATTAGCAATAGAATTCAAAAAGTATCTCATGTTACTATTTGCTGACGATACATCACAATTTTTTAGCACTTTCGCATATCCTCCAAATTCCAAAAAAAACTAAATGTCTTCTTTTTACCCTTTCCAGTGTAAGAAGGCAAAGATTTAAGTAGATTCAAAGCTCCAGTGGAGTCCCCATCTATCATCTCTTGCGAATAGGCTAAGCTCCCCTATTTTTGCGATTAGAAAGGTTAGACCGCTAACGCACATCGACACTGTTAAACTTGTTTACTTCAGTTATTTTCACAGCATCTTGCCGTACGGCATTTCGTTATTGGGTAGTGCATCTGATATAAATTCTGTATTTATTTTTCAAAAAAGAGCTGTCCGAGCAAGCTATCACATCAAATTAAATCAAATAATTTATTCATCGAAATAAGAAATATACATTTCATCCATCGATCGTCATTTTTTTAATCTACCACCGTTTCGTAATGAGGTTCCTCTAAAGAAGAAGAAACAGGCGAAAGAAACTTCGTAGGTAATCTCTTTTTTGACAAACAAAAATACATTGTTATACAGTACATTTTTTTATTTAGAAACAGCTTAGGAGCGATCATCTCATTCCCAGGGGTTATTATCGTTAATGCATCGGAGCCCGAAATACCCTTGGAGATCTCTTCGAGATTAATATACTCACTGTTGGGTCTCAATATATTTATCGTAATATTATGTATGTAAGACATTAGAAAGTAAAGTATCACACATGTCCCATGGCTGGACAAAGGCATCCACTATACACATTTAGTTAGAAATACTAACAAACTGTGGACAATGTACTTAATTTAGTGTATTGTCTGAAATAAAGATTATAATTATGGTGGGGATATTTATTAGCTTTTTAGTCTAGTTCGGTTTATAAATAAAAATAAAAAATATAGAAATATATTGCAGACATGAATATCATCTTAGTAGTCTGTGATTGCACACTAGCGACCCGCCCCGGTTTCGCATACGTGCAAACCTTCCCCTTGAATCATTCTTATTTAGTAAAAAAATTCGCATCAAGATCCGTTGCGTAGTTTTAAAGATCTAAGCATACATAGGGACAGACAGTCAGCGGGACGACTTTGTAGTTTGTTTTATAATATGTAGTGATGCACAGCAAAGAGACGTTTACATTTCAAGTGACATTTTACCACAGTCATTCACTTCATTCACTTGTTTTGCCTTCCCGGAACCCCTCCAGTAACAATTAAACTTTATGGTATGATATTAAAGTTCAAATTTATGTATTATTACGAATCTTTTGTACGGGAATAAGTACTCATATCAACCTTCTCCTGATAATAACAATTTAACAAAGACAACAAAAAAAAAGTGAAATCGGTCCAGCCGTTCACGCGTGATGGCGTGTACTGAATGTGACTTTGGTTGGACTATTGGATGTGCTTTAATATTTGGATAGATTGTTAGTTTGTTCAGTATTGTTACACTGGCATCTATAGCGACGCGAATCCTGTGTATCAACTGCAACATAATTAATAAAGTACGTCGTCATCCTGCCTTGGCACTTAATGCAAGAGTTACAGCTTTACTCTGCAGTCGAGTATACTCACAAATCGTAAGTATTTTATGCAACTTTATTAGACGATATTTTTATACATGATGTAAAATAAGGCTAATAGGTAAATATTCCGAACAGTACGTCTCGTTTTTCAAGCTAGAAAAAAAATTTAATCGATAGAGAAATGTTAATAATTAAATATTACATACGTGAAAACTAAGGCAAAAGTTGTTATTTTCACTAAATAAATCCGCCATTTTGTGTTTGACAACATGTATAAATTTAAGAATTCACTCACTTTCCCAAATATAACCTTCGCATTATTAAAAAAAAGAGTTTAAAAATACTAAAAGTACTGTTACACTAAAGTTTTCTGGGTGGTCATAAAAAAAAAACCTAACATCGAAGGCTAAGGCGGGAGCAAAGCTCCCGCCTTAACCTTCTAACCTAACCTATCCGAGTCGGATCGCTCTGTGTCGGATCTGTGACTCATTTTGAACCTAATATTCGATATACATTAAGTGTACCCTAAGTCACAAATTTTAAATAATAGAAATTGTTAATAATACATGTTCATGAAGTAGAAACTTGTGTTTTTGTGATATATCCGTGTATTTGTGTCTTCTTACAACGTAAAAAGTGAAAACGTAAGTTTTTAACTTAAAATAATAGTCTATAATGAATAATGGACGCACAGTAATGACGGATTTCAGTTGTATGAAATATAAAAACTTTGTTAATTTTTTCTTAATCTTCTTCTTTTTAATCTAGTGGTTTTCATTGATTATAACTTATATAATATTTAATTATTAACATTTCTCTATCAATTAAAATTTTTTTCTAGCTTGAAAAACGAGACGTACTATTCGGAATATTAGCCGAATATTATTAGTCAAGTGATCTTATATGATTAAAATAAGGTGTATGTAGGCTTAGCTTTCCATTGATGTCCGTCAAGTTGGGCGTTGACATTTTTTTCACAGAAAGATTACCTTATTATAAGCACACATGCAAAGTTTCAACATGCGGATATGCATAGTTTTTGAGAAAAAATATATTGAAAATCAATTTTGCCTTCATGGATTTTTTCATAACCACCCAGAACACCAGTGTAGCAGTCCTTTTAGTTTTTTTTTAAATATTAATAATAGTAAGTCTTAAATAGTAATAATATTTTTTTAGTTATTACTAATTTTATTATTATTTATTTATTTTATTTTTTTTAAAGTTATTTACATTTACCCTAATTGCATGTTACAATGGCACAGAATATTAGGAATGATTGTGCTTATAGTATAACCAGTTAATTTTACTTCTATTCAGTTAAGACTGAAAATCATATCACAAAGTTAATACAAACCAAAGCCTTTTCTAGGATATTAATTGATTAAGATTTGATGTAGATCAACAAAAATCACCTAATTCACCAAAAGCAATTTTTGAAATATTTGTATTGGAAACTGCAAAATTACATTAAAATGTTAATGTACTATATTTTTTTTGCTGTACATTTTAATTTGATTTCAAGTAAAATATTGTGTGTAGAGTAATATAAGTAGAAATAGTTTTCAAAGCATGTAAAGGTAGGGCTTGAATTTTTTTCCAGAAATGACAGTTGTTGAAACTGTACTGTTGTAAACTGTGTAGGCATATTCATTTTTTTGAAATGCCCTAAAAATCTAGTATTTCAAAGAGATATCATGTAAATAAATATTTTAAATTCTGTTGACATCTGTAGCTACAAACTCTTAAAATAAAATAATATGATATTTCCTTCTAGTTATGGCTGCCTTGGTTAGATTAAATTGGCTGAATCTAGAGCAAGATTCAAAGCATGCATTGACTCAAAACTATTGTACTTGAACATTCAACCCGTTTAATAACTATTCTATTTTACAAATATTTATTTTCAGATTCTGTCAAATGATGATGTATGCATTGTTTGTTGGTTGAACTGAAAGAGAAGGTGAACAAATCGTTTGGATTATGCCACAGCCCAACCTGTGGTTACAAATGAACCACTGCAGACCAGCCATCAGGAACCAATAACAATTTGCGTCAACCAAGTTGTACAACAGAAGTGGTTTTACTGAATTATAAGAGAGTTGCCGATTCCGAAAATCATTGTGTTTTTTCGAGTTGCCAGCACTACATTGCATAGTGTATTATATATATTGTAATATAATTAAAATAATAATTTGCCCCATCATGGGTGCTACAATCATTTAATAAGCAATTCTTTGGACAAACTTTATGTCGCCTATTGTCAAGCTTTTGCTCATGTAATCAATATTACATTTTGATTTGGTCAGAAAATCATTGCCAATGATACCATTATATGGACAACATAAAAGTGTTGATGGAAAGAATAAAATTTAACAAGTATATAACCAATTGACGTTACCAGATAATTTGGATATTTTTGTATGGCACATTTTTTTATAATGCTGGTAGATGCGCCACTGTCGACGAGCAGCGATAAAAGGCTTGATGAAACGGATGTTTGACCTTTATGAATTTCACTTACCTTCAGGTGAGCCTCCTGCTAGTTTGCCCCCTTTTCTCCATAAAAAAAAAAAATTAAAAATTTTCAAATGATTCTGTTGTAATGTTATAAGGTCTAATATAATTTTTTTAAGGTGTTGAGCACGAGAGGTGGGCGGAGAGAACAAGAATAGGAATTAGAATTCTATTTGTTGCCATTGGTAGGCTGATTATGTATTGAGTTAGAATTCATAGGATTCAATCTGTCTGTTTAGGGCTGGTTACGGTTAGATTGAGTTGGAATTGGAATAGTTATTGAACTTGGTGATTCATCAAGATAAGAAGTGACTTTGATATCGACTTCGG